GATCCTGAAAATAAATGTGTCTGTTTTTACATATATTTGAAACTTGTCAGTTCACTATTATGCACTTAAAAAATAAGCTTCATATTTTTAAGGGGTTGGCAATGAGCCAACACACAAAAAAAAATAAGAAAATAAAAAAAACAAGCTATATTACCTCAGAATAGATTGAATTGTTGTTAAATATGGGACAACCAGCACTGAATGGCAAACCGAAGTGAATTAGAAACCAAATTTTCACGAGGTTTGACATTAACTGAAAGATTATCCATGACCCAAATCCAACACCTCAGGTTGCTATATTTTAATGAGGAAATGTCACTCAGCAAAAGAGCAGCAATAGATTGTAAGCAATGGGGAATATAATCAATCCGGATTGCAACTGCCCATTTGGCATAGTCAAGCCATTGTTGACCATTTCAACCAAAATAACACAAGTTCCCTTATTTCTAAAAGTAAAAATCCAGTGACAAGCAGGTACCGTGTTTTACTCCATATAAGTAATGTTTTAGCTGTATTGTAAAGTTATACTCAATAAACTCTGATTTTAAAGTAAATCGCAATCTAAGCAAATTTAGCTATAACATAACTTATCTATTTTTGCCTATATTTTGCAGCTAAGATTTCAATTATCTACAGTTAAGTAATTCAGTGTTTAGTAAGTAAATCCCTTTGTATTTGTGTATTTATATTTCTCACTTGCCCCTGTAGAGATATATTTTTTATACTGTGTACATGTACACAGTTCTGTTATCCATATATTTCATCTTAGCAATGTATAATTAGTACAGGCGTCATTGTAATGCTTCAGTAGTCTTGAATTATACTGAGTCCTTACAGAAAGTGTTTTTTTCTAGAACAAATAACATCTCCATGACCTCTCCCACAATTATGCAGTGTTATTTGCCATGTAATGAAAACCCCTATTGATCCAGAGTCTGCTACATTTGACCAGTGAAGGAAAACAGTTGTTTTTCAAGTGGATTACCTATTGTGACTAATGACTGTGTGAGAGTAATATTATTAGGTACATTTGCCAATTATCTGTTTTGACTTCATCAAATGCAAGGTGCTTTGTAATCCAGATATTGAGCAGATTGCTAGTTGACGTGTTTATATTTATATAAACTAGAAAATATAACAAAATAGGCACAAATATGGTACCATCAACAAGACAGAAATAGATAGACAGACGGATAGATGGACAGACGGACTGATGTGAATTATGTGTATTAAATTATTTATTTTCTAGTAACTTAAAAAATGAATTGTAATCTGCCACAAATTTATTAGATGCAATTTAAGAAACAACAGATATTAAACAGATTGCCAGTTGATGTGTTTACATTTATATTATAAAAGAAAGAGCAGAGATGAGAAAATAAAAACAACATAGCCACAGATAGTTTTGTCAATGAGACAGACAGATCATTTATTTATTTGAGTTTATTATATAATTTATTTTCTTGTAAAAAAAAGGAGAATTTACACAAGTGATTTGTAATCTACTAGAAATATGATTAGCTGTAACAAAAGAAACAACATTATTAAACTTTGTTCTAAAATAAATAAAATAATAAGTAATAGTAAAACTAACTAGGCTATTGGTAGCTACAAATAATTTAAAATAGCGGAAAAAAATGCAATTAATGCAGTCAGCATTACTCGCTGTGTTACCTAATACGGTTTGTTTCTTATTGCAAAGCTTAGGAAAATGGGTAATATGCTTATAATAAATTATCCATTAATACAGGAATAAAAAGGTGTCTCGGAAGCTTACATTTTCATGTGATTTTTCTTTCACATCCCCAGGTATATTATATAGTTTTGCGACAGCTGATATTGAAACCCCATTCCAAAGCATCCTCAAAACATACTGTACACGTGTACAAAGGAGTATAACATACTGCTCATTTTTAAGATGATAAGCAGGAAACCAGCATGGAGCCATGTGAATAGTTTTTAAGGTGAAACCAATACGTTGGACCAAGCAGAGCTCACTAAACGTGCTTAGACAGTATGTACTAACAATATACTGGTTACTAAGCCTTTCCTTTCATAGTGTGTAACAATTTATTTTTTCACAATCAAAACGCTTCTTTTTTTCTGTATAGTGCAAATATTATTTTTCCATTAAAGTTGTACTTATGCAACAATTATGTAATTTTTACAGAGAAACTCAGCATTTGTGTGATGTTACACACACACACACACACACACACACACACACACAACATACAAAATACACAATCCAGCACACTCGCTTATTCACTAAACAATGATTTCAAATCTTAGAGATTGTAATAGTTTTATTTAAAAACACCTCACCTAGGCAAAAAATAATGGGGGTTTAGTTACATTATATGATCATACATTGCATAAGCCTGCCACAACGTCAATATACCCCATTCTGGGCAGGTCCTACTCTAGCAGCCTAATGCCTGCCTTTATGAGATTAATCCACTTACTTGGTAAATACTTCCTTAGTAGGACTCTCTGCAGATTAGGGCTAAAACGGATCCTGGCATGAGGCATCTGTGACAGGGAGGGGTGCAAAACCAAGGAGTTGGCCTGGACTCATCAATATATAAATGAAACCAAGAGGGCTGCACTCACCTGAACATGCATACATTATAGGGTGCTGCTGGGGCCAATTTATACAACATACAAAATACACAATCAAGCTTACTTGCTTATTCACTCAACAATGATTTCAAATTTCACAGATTGTAATACTTGTATTTAAAAACACATCATCTAGGCAAAGAATGGGGTGCATTGACATTGTGGCAGTGTTATGCAATATATGATCATATAATGTAACCAAACCCCCATTATTTTTTGCCTAGGCAAGGTGTTCTCAAATAAAACTAGCTTGATTGTGTATTTTGTATGTTGTATATATTGGCCCCAGCAGCACCCTATAATGTATGCATGTTCAGATTAATGCAACTCTTTTGGTTTCATATATATATATATATATACAAAATACACATATGTTGACAATCTTTATTTAGAATTTCATTTTTAATATCAGAAACAATAAAGAAGAATTTGTACAGAAAAGGAACGGAAGGGTAAAGCATCTGTCCTGGTGATTGTGTAGACACTATAATATAGCATGACAAACCATGGATAAACATATACAGAATCACATTGTATCTTAAGAAATATTGTCACATGCAGAAGACACAATATATGTTGGGTATAAGTATGAAAAGTCAACTGAAGACCAGCTCATAATATATTTCATACCTTTGATGTAAACTTTTTCGAGGGCATTCAGCTCTTTGCCCCAGTAAACTCTTATTAGATATCTGCAGGAGTGACCCAAAATCATACACCTACATTATCACTACCAATACCAAGCATTTTTTTATTGGTAGATTTTGTTTAATTATACTCCTCTTTTTTTTTAAATTCTTTATTTAATGAGAGACGGTCAGGCAATTATGTGGCCGACACAGCGTCCGCAATGCCTCTTTATCACAATATGCCCTGTTGAATATGAACATCATGAACAATATAGTTACACATAGTATGACAGTACAAAAGTTGCTGGTAACGGTACATGACATTGTTGGTATTTTCATATTTATACATGAGATAATTTGTGTTCAGTCTCTTGGTGACACATTGCTCTGACCATCAATTTTTGCATTTTCATAAAAACAAAGAATATAATAAGGAAGAGGAAAGTAGAAAGGAGAGGAGGGAAAATATGTTGCTAATAGAAACCAACAACATTAGATTGTCTCCTTGACGTCTGGGCACGTATCGCTAGGGGTGTAATAAAATACATTATACATTTTCGGATGTCGTACCTCTGACATGACCAGAGTCCACAGCAGTAAGAGATGCTTTAACCTCTAACAAGGGATCTGAGAGTTAAGGTATGTTTTGGAGTAACCATCGATAGATTTATAAGAGAGGAAAATCAAATATCTATTCCACAATGCCAGTGGACAGCAGCAACATCTAATAAAGCTTCAAACTGAAAGATGTTCAGCGGTTATAGGACAGGAGAGATAAAGTTAAGGTCTTGAGCTGACTAAATAATTATTGGATATATTTCATAATTTTTGATAACAATGAAAATACATATTAATAGCATTTATGGTATTTGCAAATATATCTAAATTTTGTTGGAACAGGAATATTAACCCCTTAAGGACGGAGGCAATTGTACAAGTTCTGATCAAAACAAATTGTAAAGAAAACCTAGAACTTGAGCTATATGTCTGTTCAACCATAATTCCCCTCTTTCATATAAAGTTCACCTACGCTTATCATATATAATTTTGTTCAGGACAAACAGGGCTTAAATTTCATATAAAATATTTATATTAAACATAACTTAATATGAATAAATATAGAAATTAGTTCTGCATGGTATTTTAACTGTAAATATAATAATGCCATTAGCTTTTACTGCAAAAAATTACATATATTTGTGTTCAGCGATGTCTCACAAGTACAACAGTACTTTTACAGGTTTCATGATGTTTTTTACAGGGTTAAATATAGGGCTTTCCCTTTTTCAGCTTTTACACATTGAAATTAACCAATTTGGCCTATGTTGCCTTTGAGACCATATGTCAGCCCAGAAATTAAAATTAAACCCATCATGACATACCATTTGCAAACTTTAACAACCCAGGGAATTTAAAATGAGGTATGTCCAGTCTGTTTTAGTAGCCACTTAGTCACAAATCCTGGCCAAATTTAGCATTAAAGTTAGCAAAACAGCATTGTTTTGATGACATCATCGTCATTATACATTTTATTGTTCTAAAACACTCATATTTGTGTTCAGTAAAACAGTAGCCTTCCTGTATAGGTTTTATCAAGTTTTGTAAAGTTACATGGTATATATATACATATATATATATATATATATATATATATACACACACCATTTGCAAAAGTAGACAACCAAGGGTATTCAAAATGGGGTATGTCCAGTTGTTTTTAGTAGCCACTTAGTCACAAACCCTAGTTAAAGGGACACTATAGTCACCTGAACAACTTTAGCGTAATGAAGCAGTTTTGGTGTATAGAACATGCCCCTGCAGCCCCACTGCTCAATCCTCTGCCATTTAGGAGTTAAATCCCTTTGTTTATGAACCCTAGTCACACCTCCCTGCATGTGACTTACACAGCCTTCCATAAACACTTCCTGTAAAGAGAGCCCTATTTAGGCTTTCTTTGTTGCAAGTTCTGTTTAATTAAGATTTTCTTATCCCCTGCTATGTTAATAGCTTGCTAGACCCTTCAAGAGCCTCCTGTATGTGATTAAAGTTCAATTTAGAGATTGAGATACAATTATTTAAGGTAAATTACATCTGTTTGAAAGTGAAACCAGTTTTTTTTTTTCAATGCAGGCTCTGTCAATCATAGCCAGGGGAGGTGTGGCTAGGGCTGCATAAACTGAAACAAAGTGATTTAACTCCTAAATGACAGTGAATTGAGCAGTGAAATTGCAGGGGAATGATCTATACACTAAAACTGCTTTATTTAACTAAAGTAATTTAGGTGACTATAGTGTTCCTTTAAAGTTAGTGTTCATTTTCTTTTTTCATTTTTCACACAAAAACTGCACTTTCACTAATGATATGATCATCATTCATTATACGTTTTACTGCTCTAAAACAATCACATTTGTGTTCAGCGTTGTTTCACAGGTGACCCCCCATGTACAGGTTTTAAGTTTTTTTTGAAAGTTATAGGGCCAAATACAGGGCTTTCTCATTTCATATTGCTCGATTGGTTTGCTGGGTTGCCTTTGCGACTGTATGGCAGCCAGGGAATGAGAATTACCCTCATCATGGCATACCATTTGCAAAAGTAGACAGCCCAAGGGCATACCTAGAGCATTTGGCACCTGGGGCAGACCCTGTGTTTGCCACTTCCCCCCACCCCTTAAAAATGTTTTAAGAAAACACCCACAAATTTTTTTCAATGTTTTCAAGAATATTTATTGCACATAAAAATTGCGTACTTCCCACACATACAAACCCTGCACCCCTACACATCAAATTCATACCCTCTTCATATAAAAACCCTGCACCCCATCACTTAAAGTTCATACAACCCTACACAAAAAACCTGTACCCACTTCACAAAGCTCATACAGCCCCATCACATAGAAATTCTGCACTCCCCTACACATCAAATTCATACACCAGCCCTACACATAAAACCCCTGCACACCCCCTTAATAAAAAAAAACTGCACACCCCCTTAATTAAAAAAAACCTGCACACTCCCCTTAATAAAAAAAATGCTGCACACACACCCATAATAAAAAAAACTGCACACCTCCCTTAATTAGAAAAACCCCTGTACACTCCCCATAATAAAAAAACCTGCACACCCCTTTAATTAAAAAAAAACCTGCACACCCCTTAATAAAAAAAACCTGCACACCTCCTTTAATAAAAAAAAAACCTGCACACCCCCTTAATAAAAAAAAATTGCACACCCCCTTAATAAAAAACCCTGCAACCCCCTTAATAAAAAAAAAAACCTGCACCCACCCAGCTTCTTCACATAAAATAAACATTTCATGATACCTCTGTGCTGACCTGCTCTGCTCCGAGCCTCCGACCACTGGTGCCTTACAGGATGATGGATCCTTCCACTCTGTGAAGGTGGACAGGCTGCAGCCGCGCACCTCCCCCTGCTCCTCCATATTGCTGCAGTCAGTGTAGTGTAGTGCAGCCAGGCACAGATGTGTCAGCAAAGGTGCCACGGCACGCACCATACGTCCCTCGCTTAGTACGCCACTGAGATAACCCAAGGTATTAAGAATAGAATATGTACAGTCATTTTCAGTAGCTACTTAGTAGCACACCATAGCCAAAGTTAGTGTTCAATTTTTTTTTTGCATTTTTTACAGAAAAACTGCACTTTCACTGATATCATCGTCATTACTAGTTTTATTGGTTTAAAACACTCATATTTGTGTGTCTCATGAGCACAACAGTACCCCATATGTGCAGGTTTTATGATGTTTAGGAAAGTTACAGGATTAAACATATGGCTTGCAAATTAAATTACCTGGGCTTTCTGCCTGGGTTTTCAGGCAGGTCTCTCAATCTATAATTAATAAAATCACTTAATTATGATAAATGTACATATAGAATATATATAAATTTATTTATATATATATATATAAATGTTATGTATTTTTTTCAAATTATTATTATCAAAAAACAGGTACAATGAAATTACATATGTATTATATTTATCAATGAGATGCTTTGATTAATGATTAATTTATTATATTTTAGACATATAAAATACATGTAAATATATTAGGATGTTTAATAAATTTTTTTATAACTTTTTCCCACTTTGGGGGACTTCCTGACCAGAGTCGGATTGACATAGCGGCTGATGGAGCTGCAGTTCCAGGCCCATGCTAATGAAATAGTCCATTGCTAAAAAAATAAAAATAAAAAACTACTTTTAACTATTCTTCACATGTGGATGTAGGGAAACAAAACTGGTGTGGACTGGCTGACAATGAAATTAGTTAAGGTAAAGCTGACTTTGCGCACTATGCAAATGCTCTGCTGCTTCAGTTTAACACTGTGGCATGTTCCCTTTCATCACTACATACACCTTTTCTCTGTCTGAGACTGTATAACAGGAGCTCCTGCCTGCTAGTAAGAAGGTTAGAAGAGGAGTGGACCAGAGAGTGCTAGGGGACAGACCTTAGAAAGCGTAGAGCTAGCGCTTCATTAGACACATTTATGCCAAGCTCAGGGTGCTGTCTGCCTAGTATGCCCTTAGTTGGGCGATTTTGGTTACGTGATTTGTGTCAGTGGCCCACCCTTTTACCCCATCCAGCGAAATCCTGCTTCACCAGACACTGCTGTTAAGGGGTATGGATTTACTTGAAAGGTGAAAGCGAGAGATTAGCATAGGGTATGTCTTTTCTGATAGCTATATCCTGTGAGTTTCCCACCAGCACCACCTTCACCAGATAAATAACGATTGGGAGGTATGACTATTTTAGTGTTTTCTGTCAATATGATTCTATAATTAGGCCCTTTATAATTGTCAGCACCAGGCCCAATGGGCTCTTAATATGGCCCTGTGACTGACAATTCAGGCAGTCCCATGCAGGTAGTTCAAGAGACTTCCATGTAATTGCAACGTCATCACGATCACATGGCCCGGGAGGGTTTGACTGGCAGCAGGGGAATAGCCTGGCATTTGAGGCAGTCCTTCCAGTATCGTATATGTGAATCGCCAGGGCAGGTAAGGGTGTACGATGTTGACCTAATGGTATTTAAGCCCATATTGTGCAGGGCAGCAAGTGTTAAAGCACTTTGATTGTTAGAAGCAGATGGAGTTACTATTTCTTATCCACTATCATATTTATTTTTTTGTTTGTACATCTCTAAGATTTTTGCTGCCCTAGGCAAAAGAAAAACAGCAACTTCATGGGATAATGGAGTGGGGATAATGGAGTGCGCTGGATTTTCTGTTTTTATTGAATAAATTGGCTCCCAGCTGCACCCTACTTATGCATATTCAGCCACCCCCCTGTTTTCTCATATATATATATTTGGGAGTCTAGCCAACTCATTGGCTTTGCACCCCTCCCTGTCACAGGTGCCTCATCCCAGGGCCCTACTTAGCCTTGTACTGCAGAGAGCCCCAGATGGAATTTTCCCCCCAGGTAAGTAGGCTCATGACGCAGACACTAGGCTGGTAGTGAAGGACCTGCCAAAAATGGGATACATTGACGTTGTGGCAGGCTTATGCAATGTATGATCATATACTGTAACTAAACCCCCATTATTTTTGCCTGAGTTAGGTGTTTTTAAAAAATATTTTTAAAAACTAACTAAATTTGTCAGCACTGAAGTTGCTGTTTAGGGGATAATGAAGTGCGCTGGATTTCCTGTTTTTATTGTATAAATTGGCTCCCAGCTGCACCCTACTTATGCATATTCAGGTGAGTGCAGCCAGCCCCCTGTTTTCTCATATATATATTTGGGAGTCTAGCCAACTCCTTGGCTTTGCACCCCTCCCTGCCACAGGTGCCTCATCCCAGGGCCCTATTTAGCCTTGTACTGCAGAGAACTCTAGATGGAAATAGCTCATGAAGCAAACACTAGGCTAGTAGTGTAGGACCTGCCAAAGATGGAGTACATTGATGTGGCAGGCTTATGCAATATATGACCATATAATGTAACTAAACCCCCCCATATGATCTGTCATATGAACCAACGCCAGTGCTGATGCACACAGTGTGTGTTTACATTAAAAAGGCTGCAGGCACACAGGCTATAGACACCAGAACCACTATATTAAGCTGTAGTGGTCCTGGGGACAATAGTGTCCCTTTAATGTGAGGTAAATTAGAAATTAGTGTCACTAATAATATACTGGATTGCCTACTTACAACCAGATGAGGATGATGATGGGCTCTGGCTGCAGTCTGGCTCCACTGGTCAGTTGTAGAACAGGCTCTCTGGAGGCTGTTTGTAACCGTGGTCACAAAAGTCAATGTTCTGGGGAATGGGAAACAGCTCAATTTTTGGGGCCCTTTACACAGCTCAAGGTCTGGGCCCCCCTGGCCTGACGGTGAGTATGCCCATAAGGCCCACACATAGAGGATCTAATGTGTGTGCTTATGGAATGTAGAGTATAGGGATACCAGTTTGTGTAGGTGATGCAGTGTGTGTGTGTGTGTGTGTGTGTGTGTAGTGGATGCATTGTGTTTTTGTGTAAAGGATAGAAAGCAGTGTGTGTTTGTGTGTTAGAGATGCATTGTGTGAATCTGTGTTTGTATGTGTAACGGATGCAAGGTGTGTTTCTGTGTATGTAAGAGATGCAGTGTGTGTGTCTGTAAGGGGTGCAGTGATTGTCTCTAAGGGGTGAATTGAGTGTGTGCAAGAGAAGCAGTGTGTGTTTGTGTGTGTAAGGGATGCATTCTATGTTTCTGTGTATGTGTGCAAGGGATGCATTGTGTGTGTAATGGATGCATTGTGAGTTTTTCTGTGTGTAAGGGAAGCATGGTGTGTTTCTATGTGTGTACGGATGCATTGTGTGCTTCTGTGTATGTATAGGGATGCATTGTGTGTGTGTGTGTCTGTGTGTGTGTATTGCGAAAGAGAGTTTGTGGGGTAGGATAGGAGCTGAGAGGGGAGCAGAAAAAAATAAAAGTTTTTGTTTTTGTTTTGCATCTTACATCCCTCTTTAGTGTGTTTCTTGCAAGCCCCTTGTTTGTCTCTTATCCCCCTCTTTGTATGTCTCCGACACCCTCCCAACTTCTTTGTGTGTCTTACTCCCCCTAGCCCCTGCGTGTGTCTCCCTCCCGAGCCGCTTAGTCTCTTTCTC